CCAGGTTACCGTCTTTTTTTTTTACCTCTGGTTTTTTTTTTGGCGGTAACCATAATGGTGGTCGAGTAGATCATGTTGTGCGGGGTCGAGAAACCTCACTCCGCGCAACGGGGGATGATCGCACCACGTTGTGTTAAAATGGTCAAGCTTCCTCGAGGCAGTTACACAGTGCTTACAACTGTCTCTGGAAGTGAAAGCACCAGAAAATAAATTAAGTCATACGTAGCTGTCATCCGTACGCAAGGAAGTAAGCACAAGATGCCGAACACCCTTAGCAGGATGCAGCTCACCCTTCATGCGACTCGCCAAATACCTCACGGCGCTTCGCGCTTGGTGATGTGAGAGCCTGGTCCGGTGAGAACCCGGCGTGCTCCGTCCCGGCTTTGTAGGGATGCGAGGTCAATGGTCAAACGACTACGGCATGCACGACTATGAGTACACCCCCCCCCCCCCGGTGTTTGCCATCGGGGGTTGGGTTTTCGTCGCTTGGCAACGACGTTGTAAAACAAGCCGCCCCCCTCGGTGTTTGCCATCGGGGATTGGGTTTTCGTCGCTTGGCAACGACGTTGTAAAACAGGCCAATTCACTTCGTGAACTCGGAAACCAGGTTACCGTTTTTTTTTTTTACCTCTGGTTTTTTTTTTGGCGGTAACCATAATGGTGGTCGAGTAGATCATGTTGTGCGGGGTCGAGAAACCTCACTCCGCGCAACGGGGGATGATCGCACCACGTTGTGTTAAAATGGTCAAGCTTCCTCGAGGCAGTTACACAGTGCGTACAACTGTCTCTGGAAGTGAAAGCACCAGAAAATAGATTAAGTCATACGTAGCTCTCATCCGTACGCAAGGAAGTAAGCACAAGATGCCGAACACCCTTAGCAGGATGCAGCTCACCCTTCATGCGACTCGCCAAATACATCACGGCGCTTCGCGCTTGGTGATGTGAGAGCCTGGTCCGGTGAGAACCCGGCGTGCTCCGTCCCGGCTTTGTAGGGATGCGAGGTCAATGGTCAAACGACTACGGCATGCACGACTATGAGTACACCCCCCCCTTCTATCCCTCCCGGCCACACACAATCCCCTCAGGACGAACTCCGCTGGACCCCTTTGCACCCGCGCGCCCCCGACACCGACCAAGCAAGAGAGGCCGAGGCACAAGACTCCCTCGAGGAACCTGCGACGGACGCCGAAAAGGCAGCAGCAGCATCAGGAGGAGGGGAGGGGCTGGACGGAGACCTGGACAAGGGTATCGAGTTTAGCTGGGGAGGCATGGAAGGGTTGGCGGCGACCCACGACCTCTGCGCCACCGGACCGGCCTTCGCCCTCGCCCTCGGCGAGGAGGACCCGGCCCTCGGAAGGTCGGTGAAATTTCGGCTTCCGTGCTCTCACGGTGCCGGCGTCGTGTGCGGAAACATGACTCTCTTCGACGCTCGTTCCGTGTAATTCGCCCCCATTTAGCGCCCATTTAGCGCCGAGCTGGGTTTATTACCTCCCCCTGCTGTTGCGTTGCGTTGTGACCGAGGCCATGGCTCTTTGCGGAGGGTTGTTGAAGTGCATAGCGTCCATGACTAATGTAGACGCCAACTATGCCAACCGCCTTCAGTGTACACCCAGTTTGCTTCATATTTGAGTCCTGCTCGGGCCTAGGGTTCGCCCGGCCTAATGTCCCAGGCTCACCTCTTGGTTGTTTTACCCTACTGCTGCGGCGTGACCGACAACGTGGCGTTTGCTCTCTGTTGAAACCCGTTCCCGTAAGCTCTCGTGTTGTCGATGCTTTTGACCTGTCCCACTGGTCAGTCGATGTAGGTGCCTGGAGGTTGTTGGCTGGTGGCTTCCAACCTTTTGTGGAGGAAACATAGGGTCCCCCTCCCTGGCAGGCACTAACTACCAAGCAATACCTGGCTCGTATGTCAGCAATTCATTCGGCGTGCCGAAACGCTCCCATTTTTCGTCTCTTTGGCCCTTTCCCGGAAAATCGAAAAAAACAGCGCCATACATCACTTCCGCGTGCTGGCGCGGATGACCCCCGGGCTCAAGGAAGAGCTGGCGACCTTGCTCATGGAGGCCGGGAAAACCGTGCTTATGTGAGCGGCCGGGCCTGTCTTTGTTGTTGTTGTCGGCCGTTTCGTCGTCGTCGTAAATAGTCGTTTTTGCGCTCTCTCTCTCAGCGTCTTCGTAGTCCCGCCAGCGGGAGCATCGAGCTTGGTGGCTTCGACGGCGTCGCGCCTTCGCGAGGGTACCACGGAAGGCGGTCTGCGTCAATCGGACGGACCAGCACGGCGGGTGCCGGAGGGTACTGAACAGGATGAACATGGCCTAGGCCCCCAAGTCAGCAGTTGGCGTGGCGTAAGCTCTTGCGTGGCGACCGCCCCTTCGCGCGGTGGCGGTGTTCGTCCCAGTACCCATGACACGTGCCACGAACTCGCGAGTCTCTCTGTCCTCCTTTCCGTCCCGAACGCGCACGTCGGTGTTGTTCTTTTTTTCTTCTTTTTCTTGCTTTTCAGGTGCGGGGATGGGTCGAATGACGTCGGAGCCCTCCGACGGTCCCACGTGGGACTGGCCCTCCTCAGCGGATTTGGCGACGCTAACACCGACGAGAGCAAGAGCGAGTCACCGTCTGTGACCTCTGATGGTGGGGCAACAACCAAGAACAAGGGCAAGGATGAAACCGTCAAGAGCGGCGGCGGCGGTGGCGACCGGGCCGGGGCGCTGGAGGGAAAGAACGCCGCGGAGATTTTGAAGGAGGAGCGAGAGAAGGTCCAGGTATGTACCGGGTTTTGTTCCGTGGATGTAGTAACGTCGTTTCAGTGCCGATACAGCCGCGAGAGAGAGGGGGGGGGGGGAGGGCGAGGCAAAGAGAGAGGTTTTGTTGGGGTGGTCACCGCAGTAGTGAGTGACGTCACTTGGTCATATCCTAGAAGAGCTCGACAGTCAATGCAGACGCTTTGGTGTTCGCACACACGAGCATTGTCACGAGAAACTCGGCTGTTGGAGCTTTTTTGTGCGTGTGCGCCTTTATGAGGGGTTAGCCTGTGACGTCGGTAGCTTGCCCTTGCTGGTTGGACCACTCATATGTGAGGTTGCGATATTACACGTCGACACGGGTCGTCAACGAACGGGGCTCCAGGAGAAAGATGGAGTGACAAAACCGAACGTCCGTCTTCCCGTGGGATCCGGGTGACGTATCGAAACCTAGAACACTCCGAGAGTCGTAATAATGTTGGCGTTCAGAATATGATGACAAACACACAAAACCCAGCACATCGTTGTCATTGCCATTCATTCAAGGACGTAGCCGCCTGTAGGCAGGGTGCTTCGCCATGCTGGTAGTGGACATGGGGTGCTTCTTCCTCTTCTACTGCTTATTCGTTCCTCTTGTTGCCGTTGCTGCTGTTGCCGTTGCTGCTGTTGCTGCTGTTGCTGTTGCTGTTAGGCCCCGCGGGTTAAGTTGAAAAGGCGTGGACACACGAGGAAGACAGGCGTCGACCGGTTGCTGTAGGCCGAACCTTTCCCGCCCGTCCCACTAGAGTCCCAACTGCTGCTGTGTGGTTCGAGCCGTACCTCTTTATGTTTTACCTTTCCTTTTTTTCTCCCAGCCCGAATTGAGTGTTGATTCTCCGCTTACCCCCACTTTTGCTTCCGTGTTGTTGCTCCCTTCTTTGCACTCGGCACCACTCTCGCGTTCGAAACGTGAACTCGCACCGGAAACAGCGACCTATATCCGTGTTTCCATGCACGGACGTGCGACTGACTTTCGTTTTTTTCTCAGGCCGACATCACGGAGGAGTTCGACCGGTTGCGCAGCGAGGGCGTCAACCCCGCCAAGGCCATGTGGAAGGCCTCCTCGGCAGCCAACAAGAAGCGGAGCATGAGGGACATCCAGCAGAAGAAAGCCTCGCACGGTGATTTCGCCGCATCGGCGGTGGCCATGTTCAAGGACACCGATACGGACGAGCAGGAGGGTGCCGACGGGGTGGTAAGTAGTAGGGGATTCCCTATTTACCGGCGTTATTTGTGCTACCTTCGCGCGCCCTCTCTGAAAATTTTCGCGTTTGGTGTCTCATTTGCTGAATGTGGGAGGGTATTGGAGGGAGGAGGCGAGTTTGTTTCGGCTTCCGGGGAAGTTCAGTTGCGGGGTCAGCCTCTATCTCTCGCTCTTCTGGCAGGTTATTGTTTCGTGCTTCTGTTTGGCAGCGGTATTTTTTTTTTTTGTCACAGCAACAACAACCACACTTAGGGCAACGCACGGTCGGAGAACTTTAGTTTGAGTGAGAGGTGAGACCGCACGGCAGGTGCCTATGAGTCTGCGAGCGACGGGGTATGCAAGTATCACGGCGAACTAGCGAAGGAATCCAGACAGACACTCACAGGGCGTCCCTTCCTCAGACAGAGGAGCACATTCCTTGCACCACCCACCCTTTCAAGTGCTTCAACACGATCACACACACGTTGATTGTGCTGCGTTGCCGGCGTATTTTGCCGATGGGACCGAACTCCGAAAACGCCTTTTGTGCCAGGTGAAAACCGGGGATGCTTCCCTCGCGGCCCCGTTTACCTCGAAGAAGCCCAGCATCGTAGCCGTGGTGGACGCTGTGCGGCAAGGAAGGTGCGAGGGCCAACTGCACTTTGTTGTTTGCCGCTGGCTGCGGTTTCCGTTTGACTTCGGTGTCGTAAAAGCGCCGCGTCGGTGGTACTACTGCCCGCTTGCTTGTCGTTCCCACGAGGGTTTTGGGTGCCCCGGTGCGTGACGAAGCCACCAGCTGTGCTGGTTGTCGTTGTCACCGCCAGTAATGTGTTCTGTGGTCTCGCGTGGTCATGCTAATGCAATAGCGCATGTTGCCCAGCTGTTGGCGTTGGTGTGCTGCACCGGAGTTGATTACTCCCCTTTTCGGTCTAACGAGTGTTAGGGCCCCTCACTTTTGCGCTTGGGGTTTTTCTAGTGGGGCAGACACTACGTGCTCTCGATTAGCCGTACTTCTCTCAGTCACGCTACACACCTTAGTGTTTTGTCAAAACTTGTTTTTTGGCACGGAAACCACTGATCAGGATGTTATTCGTATGCAAAGACAATCATGACAGCAAGTACACAGCAGCGACAACAACTAACTGCTGTTTGTTGTGTCGACCCGCGGAGGGCACTTCCTCTTGCGTGTTCAGGCTGCAAGAAGCCGGTTTCATGTCTTGTCGCCCAGCATACTCTTATTGCACTTCGTGCGTGTCCAGTTTGACGTCATCTTTCCGGGAGCTTTCCCTCAAGAAGGGAATCGTGGTACCGGACCTCACGTGATCAATTCAACAATACCCCCCACCCGCCCTCCCAACGCATCGTCATTGCTGCCCCCCCGCCCCCTTACCCAACCAATCTTCAGGTGCACGCTGGCGGCCGTGCTTCACACCTACCAGATGGTGGCTCTGCACGCTCTCTTCAGCTCCTACACCAGCTCCGTCCTGTACCTCATGAAAGTCAGGTACGGGCGCGTGCTGAGGCCATTGGGCTCTTATGGCTGCCCGACCAACCGTAACCTGCCTGCGGCTGTCAAGTGTTGTCGAAGCAGTTCCTGCAGTGAAGCCTTACGCCAGGCCCGCTTTTCTAGCCCCACCTTCCCCCATCATAGTGCAGTTCGGTTTGTTTGATTGCCGGGAGGCGTGGTTTTGCGGGACCCTCAGGAAACGTCCGGATCCGTTCCATCGAGCGTCGTTCGTACGCCATAAAGTAAGATATCTGCCAGGCCTAAAAAGCGCTACGCCGTCTTGGAAGAGGCTGTGTCCCGCAGGTCTACTTCGCGAGCGGCAACCGCGTACCACCGCTTGCGGGCCTCCCTCGGTGCAATTCCGGCTCGTCTTGCGTACCCTTGTGCCGACTTTCCCGCAAGCAACCCGCAAGCAATATCTTCTGCGTGCCCCCTCCCTCCACCCCTGCAGTTTCAAGAGAGAAACCGAACAGGCGCGCTCGAATACGCGAAAGCGCCACCATTCAAAGAAAGCTGCGTATGTTGGTACCTCGACCCCCACCCCCCCCCAGGTGGCCGCAGCGACCGCTGGTCGTGAGCTCGTTGATGTTCGCGCCGCTGAGCGTCGCTCTAGCCTGCCCGGGGACACCGGAAGACATGTCCCCGATACGCCCGCCGAGCTCCGTCTTTCACAAGTCGACCTTCTTGTCCCTCTTGGGGCAGGCGGGCATTCACGTGGGCAGCATGGCGTTTGCCGTCTGGGCGGCCAAGGCGCACTCCCCCTCGGAGGTGAGCTTTTCCGGCAGATCTCCCACGCGTTTGGCTTCTTTTCTTTTGAGCCCACCATGTCAGCGTTATGTTTTTCATGACTGGTGTCTCGACTTGTTTCTTCTTTTGGTCGTCTTGGCTGTGTGTGGCTGTGTGTGTGTGTTTTATGTTTTGCTTGTCGTTTGTTGTCCTTTGGCTTGCGCGCGCATGACCTTGTTTCGGAACGTTTCTCTCCTCGTGCTTGCCTTAACGCACCCCCTCCTCCTCACCCCGTAGCTTTTGGTCGTGGTTGGTTTGCTACAGTCTATTGTCGTAGTAATACTGGTATTGGTTGGTATTTTCTGTGAATTTGCGTGTGGTAACAGCAGGAGTACCATTAGTAGTAGCAGCAACGGTGTTGCTGTTTTATTTTTCGTCTTCATCTTGTTCCTTATTTTCTGCTCATGCTCCTCGAAGTCCCTGCCGGTGGCCGAAGTGAAGGGTTTGCTTGGCCCCAAGTTTGTGCCGAACCTGGTTAGCAACGCCGTCTTCCTGCTGGCTACTATCCAGAGCATTTCGGTGTCGATCGTAAACTTCAAGGGGCGTCCATTCATGTCAGGTGAGATGCAAGTGTCACGTTGTCTGCGGTACGGTTACTTATCGCTCTTGGAGGGGCACGCGTGTTTTCGGTGGTTGCCGGGCGTTGAGTTATGCACATATGTTTGTGGGCGCTACGGTTGTCTCCGTTGCCCTTGGTGTACCACCCCCTTCTTTATCTCTCTCTTGAATTTTGATTCAGTTGGTCGGACGCGCGCTAGTTGTGGGTGTCATCGGCTGCGATTTATGGCGCTCGACAATGAACAGGCGCCAGCCTTGAAGCGGCATAAATGGCGGGCAATTTTTGGGTTGTGTTTATGGGTGCGTAGGAACAACTTTGTTGATGTGGTCGTGGGGAGTTTCCCGTTGTCCCTGTCCTTTCAGCCAGGTCAACCAGCGGATTTGCCCACACGCACTTCCCGGTATCTGTGTTGGCCCCACACCCCCAACCTTACTCTGGGTTGGTTGCCAGTGCACCAATCCACCAAACACCAGCTTTTGCCAAGGACACCAATTCGGTCCATTTCATCTCCAACCCTCTCTTTCACCTCCGGTAGGCATCTTGGAAAACTCCGCTATTTTTTTGCCGGCGGTCTCGATCGTGGCCTTCTGCTTCGCCCTGGTGCTGGAGATCGTCCCGCCCATGAACGCGGTAGGGGATTGCGTCCAACTAACTTGTTCGTGTTTCGTGCGTGTCTTCGCCATTTGTTTGGAGCGCGCTCTGGGGAGGACGGGCACGTGTGGGTACGAGCTGTGGCTAGGTTTGCTCTACTCGACGACACTGTGTTGGGCTTCCGAAGCTTCCGATGTAGACGGGCATGCGTTGTACCTGCCCCGTTTGTACTTCCGACTCTCTATCTTCAACCCAACGGCGTTTTTGCCTGCGTGTAGTTCGTTTTCAGCGCTGTTTTCGTCTGGTCTCGCGTGTGTACAAACACCTTTTTTGCACTTCTTGTGTTCCGATATCCATGACAGCAGTGCATGTGTCTACACCCGTTAAAAACAACCCCTTTTTTTTGTGGCATTATTTTGTTGTCACGATCATATATTGGTTGTTTCGTTTGCGTCAGTGACATCCTCTGGCTCGTAAGTTTGTCGGACTATCAGTTATTGCAGATTAAATATCTGTCTTCGTGTTCGCATGGGTTGCTCCGTGGTCGGGAATAAACCCTCTGTTATCATGCTTGTGCCGACCCCCACATCGGACTCTGACTTCGCCCCCGCCGGACGTTACTTCGCTTTTCGAGGCCGTGGCAACAGAAGCTCGCTAACCACGCCGCGTTTGTTAGGATGTGCCAAGATGTTAGGTTTTTGTCGAATGATCTCTACGCAGGGTAACTTGGCGAAGACTTCGTGTTGTTGGTTTTGGTGAAGAGAACAGCCACGCCAACAACCAAAACTTCAACGAACCGCAGGTCCTGGAACTGAAGCCATTCCCCAGCATTGCTGCGAAGCTCTCCATTCTGGGGTCGATGCTTGTGTCGCTGCTGGCTCCGCTAGCGGTGGACCGATTGTGCGTCAAGCTCTTCGACCCGGAGCTGCACAAGGCTAGGAAGGCCGGCCCTCCGCTTGGAATGGTGGTGAGAAACAGGACGGGTCCCTCAAAAGCAGACACAGGATGGATCTTCATGGTGTGGAATGTTAATGTTTACTTCCCATCGTGACCATGTGCTTGACGAAGCCTTTTCCTCGTTTTCCTGTGTGAGCCAGGTGGATGCAAATTGACACCGTGAATGTGTGTTCTCTCTTGGTGAGATTTCAACGACTGATAGGGCCCAGCTCTCCCACGGGTATGCGGCAAAACCTGACATGATACTCAAGTCACCTTCACCGATATTCCGAAGAGCGCCATTGAATGCCAACCCGGAGGAAACGACCGGGAAACCCCGGGTGGCCAATCAGAAATAGAACCAACTCACGAGTGTGTAAGTAGTTTTTGTGGCCGAGTATGGTTCCAGTCTCATCGACAAAAGTGACGAGTGACGGGAACATATATATATATATATTATTTTCCAGCACTTCCGAGGTTCGGGCTGGAGAACGGAATTCGATTCCTCTCCTATGCATACCATCTCAAACATGACCTCGCTCATTAAAAAGACGAGGAAAGTATGTGTATTTTTCCAAACAACACCATGTCATCAGTGTGACACGAAGGGTTACTCCCGCACTTGTGGGATTTTGTGGGTGAAGCATGTTTCTGGTGACGAACGTAGCAAAATCCGGGTGTTGGTCTGGTTTGGCTACTTCCAGTTTTCCTCGAGGTTTTTTCACGGCATGTACATGTACGAACATCATGTTGTGCCGAAAGTCTCTGGACGATGCAGCGTGACCACGCGGGTCCACTTTGTTCGCGGATCGGACGGACCTTGCCGGCGTGCGCGATTGTACAAATATTTTCTTGTTAGACGCCCCGCCGCCTTGTGTACATAATCCTCCCCGGTTCGTCTGTGTCATCGTGATTGATTCGGCGCCTGTGGTTGGGGCACCGTTCATTACGCTTTGTGTTTTGTGGTGTGAAAATTCACACGCAAGTTCCTGTCTTCGTCCCCTTTTCGTTCGGCGCTCAGGAGAAACGCAACCTCGCACTTCTGGGTGCGCTCCTGCTCGTGGTGGCCGTGACTGTGAGCGGCATGGACTTCGAGGTCCTAGAGGAGGCCTTTGAAGCTTTGTAGGCACGGAAGTCATGGAAGGCACTTCTTGACTTCTTTCCTTGAGCAAAGCAACGAGCGAAACAATCAAAAACGTCACCGTTTCGTCGTCAAACCTTCACTTGTTCAGGGAATCCTTCAATAGGAACCTTCCCAGAAAGCCGACCGAGTCGGGCCATGAAATCGACGAGGATACGCGCGAGAGAGGTACTCATATGTCGCCACATCTCCATCTTATAAGCTCACGATCTATTTGGGAACAAAGCCGCGGCCGCGGGTAACGTTCATTCTCCTACCACGTTCCGCATCTCGATCATACTACGGCTGTACGGGACATGTCGGTCGGAAGCCATGCCAATGTGGACAAGTGGCGCGTTGACGCCCTCTCCTTTCCGCGTGCTCGAAGCATTCCAAGGCCGAGCACTTCGCCTTCCAAGGACCCATGACAAACAACCCCGTTAGGACGGCGGCCCGGACTGAGAGAGAGTTTGCGGCGGTCTCGAAGGAGGCTACGGTAGGGCCCTGCTGCTCATCTCTACCGACAAGCCGGTGCTGCTTAGAATCGTTGTCCCCGCCGTGAAATCGTCGTCGTCTCGTTGCCAGCAGCAGCAATCAAAGATGTAGAAGTACATCGAACGAAATGCTTCCAACAGCGTTTCGAGGCTCTGGCTCCCGCTTGTCCGTCGGCATCACACTGCACCAAAAAGATACAGAGGTCTGCACAGTAGCCCTCGCGCTCCAGCACTCACTAACCGCGGCGGACGGAAACTTATGTGTGCTGCTGGGTTATACGCGGTCTGCCTCACTCATCGGGTAAAATTGGCCACCTGTGGTCCTGGGCCATGCTCTTGGACTCCGTGCCCTGTCTATTGCGAACTCCGTGCCCTGTCTGTTGGAGGGTACTACTGTAAGCCAATATAGAAACGGGATAGACTGCCAGAAACGACAAGCCAGATCCTTCTTCGCTTACCTGACTTTTCATCACGCATGTCCAAATTTAGGAGGGAGCAACAACAAGCACAGGTGTTTCATCCGCGGTATGTGGAGATGTGTGCGTCATGCTATCTACTTTGCGGTATAGGGTTTTGGGCACATGTTCAGACCATCAGCTTCTAACTTCTTTTCAGGTGAAAAACAGGTCCGGCCATCTGCATGTATAGTCTAGTCCTTGCACCTCTGTGCTCTTTCCGTGCTCAAGGGCAGCGATCGTCTCCTGGGCTTCATGGCCCACCTCAACGTTTGTTGCCAGAGTGGTTGTGTCCTCGGCTTGAGGACGGAAGGTAGACACCGCCGCGACGAGTCACAAAAAAGGTGACCATCCCGAATGAAAATGACAAGCCCGAGTAAAATTGGGAATGATCGGTCAAGTACTCCTCAGCGTGGCACATCGCTCTCGACCGCAATCAACGATCTTCTCCGGAATTATTGACCCCGAGCGGGTAACGGCAGAGAGAGGTGGATATACGCAACAGCCCATGTCGAACTGAGTCAGTTCGAACACCGACCACCACCCCAACAAGTATTTGCAAAGTCACAATGATGTGGGGTTTTCTGATTTAGACGTAGACAAGGAACGTCGTCGAAACGACAAAGGACCCGACGCACGCTTGGTGCCTTCGCGCAAAGCCGGCGACAACCTCCAACCCAGCCGCCAGCCTGCTCCCCCTGCCCCTCTCACGCGAAACCACCGTCCAATGTTCGAACTCGGAGACAGGGGGGGGGGGATAATCCAACATAAAATTTCGGCCACGAGCGTGGCATCCTGGGCCGCCCGAACAGGGAGCTTTGCCTTTCACGCGGTGCCGGGCGAAGCCCCCTTTCGCGACAAGCAAGCCGCTACCAAAAACACGCCATCAACACATGCTGCCAGCATACTGGTGTGTTGTTCACAGCAGCAGCAGCAGCTGCTGCGGCGTCGTGGTTCATCTAGTGGTCCATTTCCTTGAACTTGAGCTCCGACGCCTCGAAGCCGGGCATGGGCCACCGGCGGGCGAACGCCTTGACGTCATCGCCAAGGGCCTTCACCTCCTCGTCGCTCTGCAAAGAGGAAGAGCGGAGGAAGAAGGGTAAGGAGAGACAGAGGGAGACAGAGAAATGCAAGCAGACAGACAAACAGACAGACAGACAGAGGAACAAGAGTGACAGCGGCGACAGCGGGCGGCAAAGGGTTTGGGGTACGAAAGAGCAAAACAATCCAGGTATTCATTGCCGCCGGTCAAGACCCGTGCGTCGCTCAGACGACGATGGCAGCCAGGATTTTCTCAACTATCGGCGAGGGCGCGCTGATTCTAATAATGAACTCTCAAATCCCTGGCACATGATTGGTATACCACGCCACAACGCAAATACCATGACGTCCTCCAAAAAACTGTCCAAGCAAAAAACAAATTAGAACGACAGGCGCAGGGAATAGAAACTACTCGTCCATGTCGATCAAATCCACGTACATTTCCTTGCGAACCCAATGGGAGTGACAGTCTCGCAACGTTGTCCCGCCCAACGTTCCGTACCGTCCGGAACCCGAGAGCGAGGAAATAATAATACCCGAACGCCAATGACGTCAAACCTCCAAACCAAAGCAACAAAATAACTACGACAGCTGCAACACATGTTACCGACTCCAACGGGGGATCGGGCTCGACCAACAAAGAGCTCACGCACCTCGAGGGCGATCGCGAAATCCTTGAGCATCTTTCCAGACCCCTGCTGGATCTTGATGGCCAGCTGGGCGGCCCGGTCCATAAACGCCGCGATCTGGCGGAACTCGGGCTCTTTCATGCCCCTCGTCGTGAGGGCGGGGGCCCCGATCCGGACGCCTCCCGGTGACATGGCCGACCTGTCCCCCTGAAATTTGGGGACAACAGTCACGCCACAGGAAGAAGATTTTGATTGATCGTTAAACGATTAGGACATCAGTTAACGGGCGCTGAAATTACACATGATTGAGCGTAGAATGAAGAGGGGATCAGTCAACGGGTGGATGGATGGTGGGCAACGAGTAACTGGATGAAAGCAACGAGTTGATGTTCGCGCTGCAGCAATCCCCCTGAGTAACGAGCTGTTTCGCAGTACAAGCGATTTCGGAAACTCAACGCCCTTGAGAGCGGCGAACGCTTGAAATGCTCCTGCAAGAAACGGGGGGGGGGGGGGGCTTGCGACATTCCCTGGCCAAGAGGGTGTACCAACAATTGGTCGCCATCATCATTCCATCGCTGTTTGAGCTGCTTCGTCCCTCCAACTGCTGGATGAACGGTTTTCTTTCGGGAAGGTGACTAGACTGCTGTTGATGGCAGGAACGATAGTCGCGAATGCAGGCAAGCCGGTTCTCGCATTCATAGCATCGCTACATTTTTATTGGCTTCTTTCCACTGACCTGGACCGCGTTCTTGTTGAGGGTGATGTGGACCTTGTCGCAGATCTTCTCCATCTTCGACCCCGTCAATGCCTTGGGGCGAAGGTCCCTGCACACAACCCCAAACCAACACCGCAACATGAGAAAGTAAAAAATTACCAAAAATAGGAGAGTTTATTCGGTCTTGAGTGGTGGAAGAGGACGACGACCGGCATGAGTGACACAAACCAACACAAAAACATGAGCTACAGCAGTGGCATCGCCTACAGTATTACAACATAACCACAGGCGAAAAAAAAAAAAAACGGTACCTTAACCAGGCCCTTACCAGAGGAGGAGGTGGTTCTCGGTTCCTCCGGTGCAGATGGTGTAACCTAGCTTCACCAGCTCGTCCGCGCAGGCGGAGGCGTTTTTCTTCACCTGGAAAAACGCGGACACGCGGGCAAGCAATTGCAACAAAAGAAAAGTCAGTTGGAAGAATTTCGACGAAGGGCTCGGAGCGCCACACAGCTGTGCACTCAAACAAACACAATCGCTGTGTCGGCAAATAACCGGAAGAGTGAAATAACAAGCTTCTTTCGCATTGCATCACTCGGATGAGAGCGGCGGCAACACGGAGGTGAGGTTCACCATCGACGATACTTCGGAGTTTTTATAGTACTCAAGTTCATGAATCTTATTCAATATTTTTGGGCTCTTGGAGGACAACAAGTCGGCCTATCATAACAACGCGCCTGGATGATGTATTCCTTGAACTCCGGGGTCATGGCCTCCTTGAGCTGGGTCGCCACCCCGGCGATCTGGTGCTCGTGCGGGCCCCCCTGGAGCGCCGGGAAGACCGCCTGGTTGATCTTAGACTCGAACCCACGCTCGTCCTGATCGTTGTTATCGAAAACGCGACAGAGTTATGAAAGTCGGATTAGCGCCCAGGGTCTTGACAGAGGACAAAGTACTGTACAGGTCAATGCGTAAATTTATGTTTTTCAAGTCCATGCCGACCTTGTTCCATCACATCGAAGAAAGAAGAAAAACGCAAAACACGACGTGAGATGCAAATGCGGTTGCTTGGCGGGAACGAAAAACAAAACAAAAACATAGGGAAGGTCGTCCGACACACGACCGCTTCTGCGCCCATCTATGGCGTGCACGCGACACTCCATGCGCCCAAATCAGGACCACAGCATTGTAGTGTACAAAATACCCTGGAGGGACCCGACGCCGGTCGGAGGCGTGTTATTTGATGCAGATCAGATGGTCAGGATGGAACACTTGACGCCACTGTCAACATGTCCACCTTCCTGACAGCGAACGAAAAGGTCACGAGAGCCAAGGCTCCAAGACTTGAGCACTACCTCTGCGCCCGGGGCATATTGCGAGGACACACACACACCGTCTCTCGGAGGCCCCGTGTACAGTTTCTGGGGGGGTGGGGGGGGAGGTGACCCCGCAGGATAGGCAGAGCTGGCTCTAGGGCTTTGAATCCGGCTGCGACTGATGCCGTTCCATTGGCCAGTCGATAGCGCCGTCCACGCGAATTGTGCACCAAAGACACCCACGCACAACCTGATCTCCACGCGTGGCAATATTTTCCACACCCAAAGGGCGGACTCTGCTTCTGTTTCGGTGAGACATGCCATGCATCACCCGGCCACCCGGCTAGGCAACTCCCCGG